CGACGTAATGTTTAGTAAGCTGTGATTGGGCGATAAGTTACTCTGGTGAATTGTACAATTTTTGGATAAAGAGAACCTAAGAAAGAATATAAAAACAAAACCAAAGAGAAAGAATAGCATAACATCGTTATTTTAACACTCCTTTTTCGAGTGTTTTTATTACTGTATCTTTAAGTTGGCTATGATTATACAGTACACTTTTATAATGACTTATCTAAAAATTTATTGTTTTCAATACGATTTGTTTCAACTAGCAACACCAAATACCAATGCTATAGTTAATGATTATTATTGACATTCCTCTGTTGTGATAAATCAGTACTGTACTGTAAAGGCCGGGGCCACACGTGGCGGATCGTCCGCGCGGCTTATGATCGTACGATCATAAGCCGCGCGACGATGTCCCGGCCACACGTAGCGGATGAACCGCTTCCGGTTGAGGTTTCTCAGCCTACGTAGGCCTACTGAGATTCTAACATGGTTTAATTCACTCGTCCTCGTTGTAGTCATGGAAGAAACACGTATGTTAGTTTGTGCATTAGAAGCGTGTGGTGAGCTAGAGCCTCACCACAAGGCAACCGAAGGCAAACCGAAATCATCATTTCATAACCGATAAACCATTTGTGTTCCAAACCTTTTACGAGCACATGCGAAACCATAGTTCGGAGTCTTTTTTTGTTACTATAGCGTGTAGATAGCATCGTTTGACAATCTACTTCAATTGCTTTGACCGCATATAACTAAGGAAGATATACTCATGAGAAATGTACAACATGAGAAATCCCACATTATCTTTAACAAGTTCTACTGATATGTCTGTATCGAACATTTTACACCTATAAACCGAAATGCACAAGCACAAACTACAAAAAAACCAATACAAATGCTTGAAAATGAGCTCCAACCGCGCGGACAATCCGTATCGTGTGGCCACTCTCATAAGACTACGTGTGTCATCCCCTCCAACGCGGCTTATGATCGCGCGGACAATCCGCGACATGGCGCGGACAATCCGCCCAGGCGGCTTAGGATCGCCCCGTGTGGCCACTCTCATTTGATTCAATGTGTTGTCGGACCACGCGGATCATCCGCGTGGTCCGTCCGCGCGGATGATCCGCGTCGTGTGGCCCCGGCCTAAGTAGCCTACCGGCCTATTACGTGCAGTAGCTTACAAAACTTTCTACTAGTGTTTTGTTTTGTTCTTTACATGGTTTATGACTACGCAATACAGTGTTTGACTAGGTTTTAGGAGGGTTAGAACAAGCTGTGATTTTAAACTTACAGTTTTTAACCTGTACCAAGGTCAATGCCATTTTCATGATTGCGCAATATTCAAGATCCCTCCCCTTTTTTATGCCGGATAATTTAGGTTCTACTGTAGAATGTAAACACTGTACTGTAAAGTACATTGTAGCCTATGCTACCTTAATTGTGTTTTAATGATGTCTAATCCCGACCTATATTGACCGACGCTGGTTCTGAACCTCGACTTAGCGAAATTCCTGCAAACATAACCTCTATATAACGAACCTCGTTTTAACGAAATCCTTGATATAACGAATATTCAGTTCGGTCCCTTCAGATTCGTTATACTGAGGTTGGACTGTATTTATCATTTAAAGTTAGTATGTAGTTTATCAGTTAGAAATAGTATGTTAACAACACTCTACCAAAATCCACTTGAAAATTTACTCATAAAAAAACAATCTATAAAACAACAATATTCAGATATTATGGACTTTTCTACGCCAATATAAGCGTATTATAAACTCAAGCTGATTATTTTAAATTTTGTTCAATCACTAAACATCATGTATATTAAATATGGTTCTTTACAGCAGATTTGTTAATAGAAAGTAACACTGACTTTTTGAAATTTAGTTGAAACTTAGTTAAACTTGAACCATAAGCTATGACATTGATGTGTCATTTCTTGGCGGTTCTTATCTAGGATAATAGTACCAAACTTACCTGTACCATGTCTAGATTGGAACCAAGGAAAAACAAACACAATTATAAATAGATATGTTTATTCACAATACATTATTTTAATACTGAAGGAAATGGTAATAGAATGATTTCAAAGTTTACTTTCCAAAACAAAATATTGTTTTATAGTTTTTTAACAAAATATAAATAAAACGTTCTCAAACAACAGGTTTTAATTATTAATTTTATCAAATAAATACTAACTTTTCAATGGCGTGAGTAATAACAAATCCTAAATTCGGCTATTGGAACAGGCTTAAATTGTTTATAAGCAGTTATTGCTGCTAAACACATACAGTAAGCAATAGAAGTTGTAAAATACTGTATGTATGAGGAACAAGGAACGATAATACAAAACCCAAAAATATACAATATTTACAAATGAACACATAATCATTAAAGCTTAATACACATTTTCACAGCATAAATATTCCTATTTTTAATAGCAAATAAATATTATAGTTTTTTACCAGGTAGTGCAATTTTGATTAAATAGTGTTAAATGGTCATACTCATTTAAAGTTTATTGATAAAATAAAAGGATTACCTTATATGACAACTAGTTTCGTTCCTTAGGACTTCGTCAAGTCATTGTATGCGACCACATCAACAATGTATTAATTGTGGTATGTCAGAAGCTTCTTTAAAACACTGTCAAAATCACAATAATAAAAATTGTCATGTTGATCAAATGATTAAAATGGAATAAAAAGTAATAAAACTGGTTAAAACTGTAAAGGCTGGCCAGCACTGTCTTATCACTGTCACTGACTAAATAAAACTGACTGAATCGTGAGGTGTTTTCTTCTCTCCAGTACCACCAGTATTTCAGTTAGTTTTTTTTTCAGTCAGCCAGCCTTTACAGTTTTAACCCAGCTTTATCACTTTTTACAAACAATGATTTTAGTCAAACATGACTAGTTTTGACTATTGTGATTTTGACAGTATTTTAAAGAATCTTTTGACATACCACAATGTATTACATTGATGATGTGGTTGTATACAATGACCTGACGAAATTCTAAGGAACGAAACTAGTTGTCATAACAGCAACTGTGTTTGGATAAGGTAATCTATACTATTATAAAGAAGAGGTGGTGTCTGTGTGTGTGTGTGTTTGTATGAGCTAATCTAAAAAACTACTGAACCTACTGGGCTCAAATTGCACACAAATGAAGCTACAGTTCCGAGGATACATATAGAACTATTCCCGCTTCGATATTGTCCTACGGCTCTGCCCCATGGGCATTCAAAAATTTGAGGTGAGAGATTTAAAAGTAAATATTGATTGATGGTATCCATGGTAACAAAGAACAAACCTACAAAGTTTAAAAATGTAAACAAGCAGAACTAACTGTCAAATGAATTTTGATTTTACAATTCCACACAGCTGGTTCAAACATATTAAATACTGCACGAATATTAGAACAGAGAGGGTAAGGATTATAAATTAAAATAATGATGTCACTAGCCTAAATGTAAACATTATTTAACATCACTTAAATGGAGCTGTCAAACCATATGTATAAGCATTTTATACTTCTATGCCAACCCCGTACGAAGGACGGGTACTCTGCTAGTCCTTTAATATATTCCAACCAAGGGTCACAATGAATAACATATATTTAAAATTTATTTTGAAAACTGATTTTTATCTCTCAATTTTTACAAAACCAAATCTATTAATATTTTGACCAGACTGAAAGTTATTTAATTAAAAATCCTGCTTGAAACCCTTATTGGTTACGTCCCTCTGAACTTTATCTTATCTCCCGTTTAATATTTTATTCCATGAATTTTGTCAACCCTTAAATTAACTTGTGCCTAATTAGAAAAACTCAAACTGTAAGTACTTGGCCTTAGCAAATAAAATACTTATTTTAGTTGGCGATTTTAAAAATCATAAAAAACATAATACATCAAGTGATAGATTTAACTTAAATATCATAGATCCACATAGACTATTTACACTATATTAAATTTACATTGGTAAATATAAGTATATCACATATTATCGTAGTTCACTTGCAAACAAAGCTGCAAATGTTGTAAGCACAATTTACAAGGACTGTACATAGATTTAAACATCTCCATATCACGGAGTTCTGGTGTCCATAGCGCGTTTTCACTCGAAAGCTGACTGCAGGTCTAGCAAGCGATCTCTACTCAGCTGTTTAATGATCAGCTGTACGAATGCACAACAATTAAATTGTCCAAGAAAGCTAACAAGACGACACTTTGCGCGGGTATAGCGTTTTTTCACAGACGTTTCACATTGGTTTGAGTGGAAGAAATGTGGATCGCTACAACAATTTAAGCGATTTCGCGTTTTGTTGGTAAAATAAATAGAACTAGCTGTACCAAATAATTCCTTTTTTCGTGGTTCGTATATGTTGATTTTTTATCGCATAGTTTTATTTACATTTCTATGTTATATTTTAAATTATTAAAGACGAGTGTTTCAAGGTGTACTTACATAATTTTGATGGATGCATAGTATGTTTGCTAGATATAACTGTTCATATTTAATTTAAAAATGTACAATTTAAGAATTGTAGTTGAGTATCCTCCTGTCTAGATCCTATATTCGTTATTGTGTAAATCTCATTAAAAAATAATCGTATTTCATGTTAATATGAATCATAGCACAATGAATGGTGCATCAAATGACAGTCTAAAGCATAGCGTTCCACTCAACTGATTTTCAACAAATTTAAATTTGTCCTAGTATCTATTGATTGTTCTCCTCGAATCCCAAATACATTAAAAAGATTTCCTCCATAACACTTAAAATTTGAACCTATTTTGTGAGGTAGATAATGTTGAAATTGTAGTATATATCTTGTGTCCCAATCAATATCGAGTACAAACATGTTACTGTAGCATCCAAGACATAAGTTGTAGTAAATTTCCTAATCTCAATGTGTATTGTCTAATTGTAAAGTTGATTGTTTCTCTATGAAGTGTATTGTTTAGCGACCCACACTCCACACTCACCCTACTCTCTCTGTTCACGGACTGCTAGGGGAAGCCGACGCGAAGGGTGACGACGGCGACGGTTGCGCCGGACTATGCCTAGGACTCGCGTCCTCTCTACCACTGTCCGGCGAGGGCGAAGACCCTGGGGACGGCTTGGTGTGCTGAGGGACCGTGTAGGGTGCGAACCTGTTGGTAGCCAGCCGAGGATACAGCGGCCTCAGCAGCGCCGGGTTGGCAGCAGCGAGTTGTTGCTGCGCCAGCAGTGTAGGACCTAGACACGCCCATTGGCTCCACAGAGGGTTCTGACTGCTGCCGGCGCCGTACATGTACATAGGTGATAGATAAGGTGCCGCCCCCACGGCTCCTACCGCCCCCGCCGCCTCCGCCGCCGCCCGTAGAGACAGCTGGAACCTCGCGGCGAACATCGCGCGTTCCTCCAGAGTGAGGTTGGCGTTGTCTAGTAGAGGCGACCTCAGGAAGTGCTGCTCGTTCAGCATCGTCTCCATCGTCTCTCTGCAATACAGACTGGTATCAGACTATAGCATGTAGTGACAACAGAGGGATACAGACTGGACTGACTGGGAGTAGTGATTACCTTTCAAAGTCCGTGAGACGCGAAGAGTCCCTGAACCCTTTGGCGAACGGGTTGCTGTCGATCTTCAGCTTGGTGATCTGAAACACGAAAGTACAAAATAAAACAGAGAAATTTAATTTTTTCCTACTACTATTTTCATGCAATTTTGTAATGCCCACAACGTTTTCGTATTTGTTGCACATCCTAAATATATCATAAGAATACGAAAACATTGTAACACTGTAAAACCAGATTACTATTTTACAGTGATGATTTCTAATGGTTAAAAACAATGCACTATAATTTCCACTCTACTGCTAATAGAGAAATGATTTATATACTACGCCAATAGGTACCTCAAATAGCACAATCTTTCCGCTTGTTTTCCAACCTCACTTAGCAACTAGTGTAAAAATATCCAAGTTCATTAGCCAAGAGACATTTATAGCTCTGTAAGATAATTGTCAAAACAATTAAACAAGTTGCATGTCTCTTGCAAGATTGCATGGAGATAGCTTACACACTATACACTGTCCCATGTATGCGTGCGGCCTACTACACATTGTCGGTGATATCAAGTATATTTACATACTTAATTATTATCTTTGCCAGACACTGCTGTAAGTGAAAATAAATGTGTGCAAGTTCGTGTCTTTCGCGATGTTTTATGTTAATGTAACGGCATAAATGCGTCGAGGATGTAACGGCTTCTAAATTCTATGAATGGGATTTTAACATTAACAATGGAAAGTTAGTCATATGGTTTTATGTTTTTTTTCATGTAACTGTTAAAAGTTGTAACGAGCTATTTTCCCTAGGGGGGTATATTTTTGCTATTTGGCCGCGCACCGATTGTTGAGGTGAGCTAGCGGCGGCGGCGAAGCTAGCGAGCGCCCTTTGACCCGGCTTATCAGTGCCGATAAGCCTGGGATATCCTAGATGTTCAGGATAGCCTAGGATGGACATTAGAGTGGTGGATCCCGTACAGTGAAGAAGGCAGTGTTGGTGTCCAGTGGAGACGGCCGACGTACGTGGGTGGTACAGAGAAGTGTACGGTGTCGTGTGATATTGGTGCTCAAGGAGTGAGTGTCGGCATTCAAGTTGGGTAGTGAGTCAGTGACCCACTTGTGGTGAGTGGACGACGTTTTATTATATTTTGGTTTAAGAGAGTTAGAGAGTTAGAGTTGTAACCATGCTAGTCAAAGCCTGACGATAGTTAGGATTTATTTATTAGTCAGGAATAATATTAAAGTATATTCCTGACGGTTCTGGGCAGGTGCCAGAGCGCAAATAATATAATTTAATTGACTGTAGTAGTTATTATTTTGCGTTGTACCAGGAGTTAGTTATATTACTAATAACTCTGAGGCCCGACAAACCTAGGCTGCACGATTTAGCGTGCGTAGTTGGAAACACGTGGCCAGTAGGCTAGTTGCATTGACTTTATATCTCTAGCTAACATTATTAGCCTATTAACAGAAGCCCGGCTAAGCAATATAACGTTGATATAGTAGCAGTAGTGGTAGTAGCAGTAGGGTTGGTATTGATTAATCATTTAATTATTTTAATTTAACCTGAACAGCTTGCTTAGTAATCCAACACGTTAGCTTGGTAGCTTGGATAGCGGAGTACCGGCTACCAGATAATATATTTATCTAGTGTTTGGAACGTAGTTAATATTTATTTATCTGCTACTAAGTAGCTCAATATTTTAATAGTGCAATTGCCATTTAGTTTGGCTTGGTATTTATTGAGACCAGCTACTAGTGGTGTAGTCACTCTACGTATAGTGTACTTGTATATTATTATGTGGTACGATTATTGAGTGAACTGTTTGATTCTTAGCTTGGGCATTAGAGTTGTGTATTGGATTATAGTGGCCTAGTAGACCCCGCCTGGTGATAACACGCGTTGTGGTTTTTATTGGCAAGTCGTCGTGTAACTCACCGTGTTTTAGGCACTCTGGGCTTAACTATTGGATAGTTAGGACGAAGCCCGAGTTGCGTAGTCAGCAACGACCCCCTAGGAGTGTGGAGAATCGGCGTAGGCCTGGTAGTGATTATTGCACGTTTGTTTTGGTGACTTGTTTTTGACTTGTTCACAGTGCCCGTGTATGAGCCAGTCCTATACCGGTTAGACCCGGCTTTTGGCATAGTGGTTTCCCTGACCTTGTCGCAGACCCTGGAACTTTACCCGGCCATTGTAGGCTGAGCTATCCCCGGCAAACGGTTGCAACTGCTGCGACTGCACTTACTAATATTTATTTTTTTCAGTGCAGAAAGCATCGTCGCAAGATGGCGCCTGCGAACAGGGACTGAGGTTGGCAGTGGTGCTGAGTTGCTGACGTATTAACGGCGCCCGAACAAAAAATTTTATTTGCTGCGGACTTATGCAGATTGGCTGCGGACCTGAGCTGTTGAGCAGAGTTTTAGGCAGACCTGCTGTGATTTTATAGTCGGTTGGGTAGGCCTAACCTGTTTTCTGTTACAGCGTGGTGTGTTGTGAACCCTAATTTATTTAGTGGTTGTATACATAGATATTAGTTAGTAATTTTAATTTTGCTAATTAATTGAGCTTTATCATTGAATATTATTTGAGTGAGAACCCTTATTGTGTATTTGTGGTTTGACTTTCACACCTATAATTGGTTTGATTTATTATAACGGTGTTAAATATATTTTAATTGGTTTCGCTCTTATTTTTGCGGATTAGTCGTGGTATTTGGATTTTAAATATGGTTGTCACTACGAGTACGACGTCTGTGCTGGGCGGTACGCCTATTACGTCTGCTATTGTTACAACTAGTTCTGGGGTTAGCTCCGAACTGTCGGTGATGACGACGTCGTCATTGTGGCCTGCGTCTTCGCCTGTTTGGCCGACTATTTCATCGGTCGTGGGTACGACGGTGACAACGTCTCTGACCTATTCCGCGCCAGCGACTATGTCCTTGGGGTCGCAGCCCCGGGACGGTCGCGTGGGTTGGATATATGACCTCTCGAAAGGGGAGCTCATGAGGACGATGGACCAGTATGGTTTGGTGACCACTGGAACTTCTGCGGAATTACGGCAGAGATTCTCGTCGTTTTGGAAGCAGCGGAATGCCCGTCGGTACAGCGATGATAGGCTGTGTACGGCTGGGGCTGCTGCACCGGCATATGTACCGCCGGCTACTACAACTGTGGGACTTCCTGACCCCCCGAGAACCGTACCTCAGGTACTGGGTAGTACTGATTCGGGCCAAATAGAGATAGGGGAGCTTAGCAGGGAGTTAGAGGCGATTAAAGAGATCCTTGGGTTGTCTTCGGAGACCGATACCCGGACTCTTAGAGAACATCTGGCATCGGTGGTGCGACAGGCGAGAGGCTCGCCGAGTAATGAGGTCGGCTATGGGTTCGAAAGACCCGCCAACCCTGCGTCCCCTGTTGTGGCTGATCAGCTGTCTACCTTTGGGTTACCAAGTAGACCCGAGGGATGGCAGCGACCTAACGATCATTCGGAGAGACCAGTCCGTCCTTCTAGTGTGGAGGTGCCACGTGGATCGGGTATGCTCTCGAGTGAGGCCAGCAGGGTGGAGCCGAAGAATTGCTCCAAGATATGTGACATGGTCCGAAAGTGGGGTTTGAAGTTTGATGGACGTAGAGACCCTGTGTCATTCCTGGAGCGTCTTGAAGAGCTGATGGTCTCGTACTCTATATCGTCGGAGGACCTGCTCAGAGCGCTACCGGAGCTGCTGCAAGGTTCAGCACTTCTTTGGTATAGGAACTGCAAGGAGCTCCTGTATTCTTTTGAAGCTTTCCGGCATCAATTTGAGGTCCAGTTCTTCCCACCAGGATATTGGAGGAACTTGGATGAGGAGATCCGGAAAAGGACACAGGGTGAAGGCGAACACTTCCGAGATTATGTCGTGGCCATAAGTACCTTGCTTAGGCGTAGTGGTACGTTGTCGGAGCATAGTAGGTTGGACTTGATCTACAACAACATGCGACCTGAGTACAAACTCATGGTGCGACGGCGGGACTTCCGCAATCTGGCCGAGGTGGTTGAGTTGGCCGAAGACTACGAGGCCTATCTGCGAGAGAAGGCGGCCTTTAGACCTCCTCCTCCTCCGAACGTAGCGCTGGTTTTGGAAACCGCCTACACACCCAAAAAGAAGGTGGAGAAGCGCGCCGAAACTGCCGCCGTCGAGAAGCGGAGTTTCGAGAGACCATCTCCGGAAGCTGAGTCGCGTGGGCGGGTAGCTTTGAAGTCGAATCGGGTCCACGGTCAACGGACCGTGACAGCAGCTAGAGCGCCTGAGGGTCCAAAGGGGACGGTGAAATGTTTTAGGTGCCAGGAGATTGGTCACTTTGCCCGAGAATGTGGTAAACCAAGGACCGTCTCCTGTTATGGGTGTGGCGAACCTGGTTTGACGGTGAGTCAGTGTGGATGTCGGGCGGGAAACGGCAGGCCAGCCCAGACATCAGGAGGTCAACTGGGCAAGGCCACCCAAAACGAACGACCTCAGAAGAGTGGTCCGAGTGGCTCGGAAAACTAAACAGCCTGGTTGGTGGGGTAGACGAGAACCGGCTGGGTTCGGAGACAAGGCCCTTTGTTGAAGTTGTGCTGATGGGCAGCGTTTTTAAGGCGTTATTGGACACTGGGTCCGTAGTTAACCTGGTTGGGCGAAAAGTGGCCGATCATCTGCAACGCCAGGGGGTAGAACCTTTTAAGAAACCCTCTCCTCTAAGGATGGCAGATGGGTCGCGGTCTATGGCCGAGTATTCGTTCAGATTGGCAGGGGAGGCTGCGGGAAGACGGTGGGTTGGAGACGCCTTGTACGTTCCCACTCTTACCACGGATATGATTTTGGGTATGGATGTCATACGACATCTCGGACTTGTGACGGTCGTGACAGAGGTAGTAAGAATGGGCGTGGGTGATGACTGTTCTGGCCAAGGTGGCCGCATAGACAGGGTCAAAATTGGTGACAAAGACCCCGAAGGCCCTTTGCAATGGAAATCCCCGTCTGGTTCCTGATGCTAAATCAGTCAGCACCTTGTTGGCTGGTAGTGGCAAGTAGAAGATTTTTTATTTGTTTTAAGTTTGAGACCTGTGGTGT